TAGACCTGATTGGTCCTTTCAAAGATAGCTAAGAGAGGAGCAGTAGTGTAGACTGAAATTCTTTAGTGCAATCCTAAAGTTTAGAGACAGGAAATAGAAGATAAATAGGAAAAACTACTAGGTATCGTCAAAGAGAAGTCAAGACATAATTTTAATTAATACAATAATTTTAGTAGAAATAGACTTCAAAAATGGATCTATAATTATTTAACTATGTAGAACTGACAACAATTTTCCCAAGGAATTGAAAGCACTAGCCAGAAGCAAACAATGCCAAAATCTAGGCTCTCCATACCATTTGTAGGGGAAGAGGCAAAGGAAACCTAAAGAAGTCATATGACAATTTGTTCAGAGGGTGTGGCCTCAACTTTATTGGTTACAGCTAAAATGAAATGTTGGTACAGCATCCAAATATCTGCATTATCAATTTCCCTGTTGATTGGGTAACTTCTACTGTCCAAAAGCCAATAATCAGAGTAGCAATATAATATAAATTTTTCAGCTGCTCATTTGTCATTGATCAGTGGAAAGAGTCTGTCTTTTATGTTTCCTTTATTTTCTAGAACCATTTGGCTTTCCTCTGTCTTAGACCCTTGCTAGAAATCCCTAGTCCAGAATCACAAGGTCTTCATAATTCTATATCACCACCGAAAATCTGGCCCAATATCCCAGATATCAGCACTGATTTCATCAAAGAAAATAATGTCACCATCAATTATCAATTCATTTAAAAGGTACCAAGCATGCTCTAGCAAGAATGGGAGTTACTAAAAATACTTTGTTCCTTCTTCTAGTTATGAAAATGATTCAGTGGTAGATTGGATACAACCCTTTGTTTTATTTTAGAATACATCCCTGTCTATCTACTAGGGTTTGTGGATGCAAAATCCATAATGTTCTCACTACATTTAGCAACTGAGGCAAGAAATATTGGCCAATGATATCATATTGTACTCTGACAATAAAAGTAATAACAACTTCCCTTTTGACCATTGAATTAAAAATATATAAAGCTGTTGTGTTCTAGATTTCTGTGTGATCATTTCTCCTTTTCTAAATATTTGATACATGTAGGACTTTATAAGAAAACTAAAATCCAGAGGCCAGGAATGTTTCTATCTATCAGCTCTAGTTTAGAGAAACATTAAAAGTCTTTGAAGAAAAGATATAGCAATCAGTACAAAACCACTGGCTTAGCTATGAAAGGAAAGAGGAAGAAATTCAAATCTAACCTATCTCGATTCTCTTGGGTATATAAGGAAAGGAAAGGGAAACTCTTGTCAATTTTCCAATAAACAATTCAATGGTAAAGTAAGCTATAGTAGTTCGTTTGGAGAGTGTTTCCTCACCTGATCTATCTCAAATGGCTAAGAAGTATTCAGCAGTTTTCAGAATATTTTTACTCATGTTAATTATGTAGAGAAGAATGCTTTCAGGGATAGCATGCATCTCCATTAATAAGTTTCATAATTTCCCTTGCTTAGGTGGCACTATTGTACTGAAATTACAAACAATAACAAACATATATAAAACATCTGACATTTATAGATCGTTACAGGATTAGACTGTATTTCTGATTTCACTACAAATAAATGTATGTTTATAAAAATATATATCTGAATAATATATGGAGGTACACACACACAACCTGCCAATGGTCTATGAAAAGTACCATGAAAGAATTGTGAAATAGAAATACCCAAACTCTATTGTCAACTTCAGTACTAATTGCAAAGATTTTACAGATAGTCAAAAGTACAATAAGAAGTCAACCATATGCATAAAGTACTTAGTTCTAAAAATATATTTCACATCTCAGCTTTAAGTCTGTAAATGTAAAGCAAGCAAAAACAAACACATTTGTTATGAGCTGATAATTCTGAACCCAATTTTTCTACCTTTCACTTCAACCTTACCAGGTCTATAAAAAGGATGCTGTTTAACCAACAGCACCACGTGCAAAATCGGGCCAAGGTTCATCTCATTTAAAAAGCAGCAAAATGCTTGTATAAAATCTGGAGTAATTCTTTCATTTTGTTTCTGAAGTGTGCATGAACAGGCCTAATGAATAAAATGATATACTAGCATAGATGGGCTACAGTTTTTTATTTTTATATTTTGTTACATTGAAGTTATTAATTGCATTCCTCAAGATCATATCATTTCATGTATTTTTTAGAAATTTATTTTTTAGAAATTTAAAATCAGTAAATAACAGTTATAGCAGCAGTGCTGAAAGTACTGGTTGCTCCTCAAATCTCCAAATCCTGCATCACTATGGAGTAATCCAACAAAAAGCAAAAAGAAATCATGAATATTAGCTATAGTACAGGTAAATTACGTTATGTATTCAACTATTATTCCTGGGGGGGAAAACTAACTATGTGGTTGTTAAGAGACAAAAACAAAGTGATTATGCAATCAATCAACTGTTCTCTATGACGTTTTCATGGAGATTTTACAAGGAGTGAAGAAGTTCTTGTTATTCTCAGAAATTATGTCTAAATAACACAATCCCTGGCAAGTTATATGATACAGTATTTTTAATTTCTATATTTCTGAAATAAACTAAGTTCGTATGCTTGTCAAAATCATTTAATTAAAATAGAAGCTGAAGCAATAACAATAAGAAAAAAGACTCAGCAAGTAAATATTTAGTTTAAATGTTCATCAGTAAATTCTAGTACACAAAAAGGGCTTATTTATTTTAAATTGCATCAGATGGATAATACAGATTTTGTCTGGGACTAAAAAACTATGAAGCTGAAGCGGAAAATGCCTTCTCAAGGAAGATTGCATAGCTGAGAAAATACTGCCAGTACAACCTCCTCTATTATTCATATAAGCAATATTTCAGATGGAGACAATGACATTTAAATGTACCAATTAATCTTTGGCCTTAATTTGTGGACAGGAATATACCTAGATACCAAGTCATTTAGATATCAACATATGCAATTTGCATTGGGCATATACTGTAAATGAATAAACAGCTATTAAAATCCTTTTAAGATGAGCAAGATATGTTATGAGGGAGCTGTTCCAGTGCAAATTTTAATCATTGTGGTTTGTGCTGAAACTTCCCAATTCATTTAAAAAAATAATGTAATGTCATTTCAAAATAATGAATAATGTCAAAACACGAAGAACTCCAGGAACTGACCACTAGTCTCCATCCTAAGTATTACTTCTACGTTTCAGACAGTTGGCAGAAAACCTTGAATAGAAAGGTAGAAAACAATAGCTGAAGAAAAATGGCATTGGTCCTTGCCACATAAAACTCTGCAAAAAAGAATATAATCTTTTCTATCCAACTATAGAGAAACTATAAATCTCTTGGAAGAAGGTAACTATATCAGCCTGCAAATATCCAATCAAGACAAGTTACCATTCTAATGTGAGTTGTTTTTGTACCAACATCAGTTAAGGATTATTTTTTAATCTCTTATTAGTTTAAAATTAGTTAAGAAGGGAAGGTGGTATAGAATTCAGAGCCAAGATAGTGCAATACTTAACAGGGTCAATCTAGAACCTGGAATATCTAGTTTAGATCACACACTATGCATGTTATTGGGTGATCTTGTACCAACTATGAATTTTAAAATCTTACCTATCTACCAAATTGTTGAAACGATAAAATCAGATAAATGCACTATTTGAGAAGCTAATAAAAAGTCTATTTCAAAAAGATAATAGATATACTGCTGATTTTTCAATGTCAAACATATCTCATGTTGATATTTCATGAAATAAAGTCAAATGACTGCACCTTTCTATTATTAAATATACCTAAAATGGGATAGCTAAGCGAAAAGAGTTTATGAAAGTATGTGGACATTAAAAGAAGAAAAACAGAAACAGAAGCAGAAGAAAGAAGAAACTTAAACAGAAACAATACAGGCTTTTTGTTGAAAAATCAAAAACTAACAGTTAGTCAGCCAACCACAAAAAAACTTTTAAATCCATTGCTATATGAATTGCCAAAATTCATCCCAAGAATAATATTGTACTTATCACCCTAGGGATATTAAAAATGAATTCCTTTTGTACTGTGGTTCTAAAAGAAGTGATTATTGCAAATGATTAGGTAAATTATTATATGTAGTTTTTAGACCTGTCAAAACACTATCGTTCAAAAAACATTTTATTTAAAAAGTATATAAAATAATATGTAACTTGGCAACAAATCTACAAAATGCCATTTTAATACTATTTTCATATTTAAAACCTACTGGTGACAGAATCATTGTAAATGATGTTTTAGCTTATAAAAACCACTAGATGCTATTTCAAGCTGTTCTTAAGTATTAGTAAAATAATACTTTGCATTGATGATTTTTAATAACCTAACTGTATTTGGATGTTGGTTTTTAATGCATGTGGAAGAGACTCAGAATTTTTGAATGGCATTTTCAAAATAAATAAAATAAACAATTCTTTTATTAAAGAATGAGATGGAATACATTCACAACCCAACTCAATGATAGTAACTGTAATAATGAGTTCAATAAACTAATTATTGCAGTGGTTAACTAATAATGGTAATCACACAATCACTAATAATAATGCCATGACAGAAAGCAAAAAAGGATAATACATAACATAATTAAAACTGTTTACTATACAAAATTGTTTCATATTAAAGAAAGATGTATCCTGAGGTTTGTATTTAAACATTGTCATTAAACCTTATTATTAGCAGCATTTCTACAGGTAACTGAGTGTTCTGAGTTAGCTAGAACTCTACGATTACCCAACTGATTTTGAGGAAAAATGCTCAGTTCAAACATTTAGGTATAGAATATATACAAACAACTCAAGCAAAAGATGCAGCATAAAAAACTGATGTGTCTTATTTGAAATAACACAATCAAATTACTAGCAGAAAACTAGTATGTGTTAATAAACTTTATGTGTTAATAAACCTTTATGTCAGGATGAAATATATATAAGTGACTACTTGGGACAGTTAATATAGTATAAGGATTTAGAGCTCTTACCCCGTATTTACACTGGCGTGATGTAGCTCCATATTGGAAGCGACACTGTTCATCAGCATCATACACCTGACCTGGGGCCACCACAGGATAAAGAAAATCACGCTTGGGAGGTTCATTATCAAGGCAAGTACCACGGCCTGAACTGTGCAACATAAAAAAAAAAATCCAGGAATACTATTCTTTAGTAAAAACGTGAAATATTTATATGATCTGAAGAAAAATAAATGTCCTAACCACATTTACACCTATGTAAATACATGTGTATTATAGATAGAAGAAATGCCTTCCTATTATGGATCATTAATTCATAACTTCTCATTTGCAAGTTATTCATGAAATGCTATTTTGTGTACCCATCAAGCATGTCATGTATGTCAATGATTAGTAGTTCACAGGATATCTATGGAAATTCTCAGTCATCCAGGTCATGGTTGTCCCAAAGGTGCTTTTTCAAGAGGCAACTGGACTTTCTAGTTTTTCTTTGAAGACGTTCCCTTCTCATCCAAGAAGCTTCTTCAGTTCTGACTGGATAGAGGGGAATGGAAGGATTTATATCCTTGCAGACAGCTGGTCATTTGCATTCTTTTAGTGAGTTGTTAAGGTCACCTGGAGGTTTATCTGTGCCATCAGGGTCACTTGAGTGGTGCAAATGTGTGTGGAGCCTTCTTGGAACTGTTGAAAAGACTGAGATAGATGATACCATATCCCTCCCCCTCTGAAGAAAGAGATCTGTTCAATTTTGACTTAGATAGCCTCTTTGACCCCTCTTCCAAACCAGGAGTCCTCACTGTCCAAAATGTGGACTTTACTGTCTTCAAAAGAGTGGAGATAGAGAGCTGAATCTAGTCCCGATGTGTTTGTTTTCCTATTGTACTGCACATACCACATTGCTCATTTTTTTCTGGGTATTTTATCTTTGGGATGGACAAGCTTCTGCTTTAGGGTATTCTTGGGTTTGAAGTGTTCACATATGTTATGTTGGCTGAAAATTCTCCTGAGCTTTTTCAATATACCTGAAACATATGGAATGACTACATTATCTGTTATGGAGGAACTCCTGTAGGGTCTTGAGATTTGATGAAGCCCACTTGGGATTTCCACATGTTCTGAGGGCTTCCTTGATATGTTTTTGTTCTTTATCATCTTTGCTGGTAGGCAAGTTTTCAGTTTGGTGATGTAGAGTTCTGATGACTCCTATTTTGTGTTCCAGTAGGTGGTGGGAATCAAAATGTAAATATTGATCTCTGTAAGTGGGTTTTCTCTAAATGTCAATGTTAAGACTTCGGTCTTACTTAATGTGTACCTCACACTCCAGGAAGGTGAGACTATTTTCCTTAACATCTTTCTGTGTGAATTTGATGTATCTGTTCACAGAATTGATATGTTTGGTGGATGCTTCCAATTCCTATGTTTTGATCTTGATCCAAGTATCATCCACATACCTATACCAGTGAGTGGGTGGAATTCCCATCATCCAGTCAGAGCTGAAGAAGCTTCTTGGATGTGAAGCAAAACGTCTTGAAAGGAAAACTGGAAAGTCCAGTTGCCTCTTGAAAAAGTACCTTTGGGATAGTTCACAGGATTTTTTCTCTTTGTAGATAATGTCAAATAAAATTTATTTGTTGAAGACCATCAGTGAATTCATGATCAAACTTTGAACCCTAACTTAAATTCCACATTTCCTCCAAACTTTATGCACGCTAAGAAAAGAAGTGTTTAAAATTCATTCATAAGTGCAGATTAATACTTTTTAAAAACTTTCAATGTTAACATTACTTTTGTGAACATTTGAGTAACTTCAAGAGTTATTCATGTGTATATTTATAGTAGTTAATTAGGTAAAATTACTCAGCATGTAGATGAGCTCAATAGATGACTGACATAATTCCTACTTATTAGCTCTAGTTAAATGAAGGTTTATTTTGTGAACTTATATTTTAAAGACCATTTTAAGCATAAATGGGATAAAATACATATAAGGAACAAATCTTTTTGAAGAATGCAGATATTTTTCTACATAACTCAGTTAAAAAACTATTTCATTTGAGGCTCAAAACTAAACCCTTAAAGAGAAACATCTTGTCCATATATTTATGCAGAAACAACTTGTGGCCACAATCAAATACACGTAATGTACAAAGTAATTAAGGAAGTTCTGAATGATTGACAATCATCCATCTGACCCCAAAATCTTGCCATAACAACATAAATGGAAATAAGAATAGTTCTCAACCTATAAATCATATATAACAGAAATGAATAATAAACAAAACTAACCATTATAATTAGCTCTTCAAATAATCTAACATTTGCAGATGTCTCATTACCCAACTGGGTAATATAAGATGTTAGGTAATGAAATCTCTGTAAGCAAGTAACCAAGCTTAGAGAACACCAAGGACTTCTCAGTTCAACTTATTGGACCTATTAAATATTCTCTTCTGTTGGAATATAACATTTCTACAATAATTCTTTCAGGTGAATTTATTTGACTGCAAAAGGTAAAAACGAAGAAGTAGTGATAAACCGGGTTCAAGTACACATATAACATATTACTCAACTAACCAGGGATCTGATACAACAATCTACTTTGAGTTACAGAAATTGGAGCCAGGGTATATTTTGTTAGGTAGCAAGACTAAATGAAACTAATGATATTCCACTCCCAAAAGGATTTTCTTTACAATAACATAAGTTATAGCAAGTAGGGGAAAGTTACATGTTGTTGCTACTATTATTAAAGAATCATAAATCCATAATGGTCTATAAAAAGGATCTAAAATAGATATAAATTTATCATTTACCGTATTTATCGGCGTATAACACGCACAGGCGTATAACACGCATTCCCTTTAAGAGGGAAATTTCAGGAAAAAAATATGCGGCGGGCGCAGCGCTGACATCACGTCACGACGCTGCGCCGCCGCTAGGCACTATTGGGAACGGGATCCCTTAAAGAGGATTCCGCTCCCTGGACATCGGCGTATAACACGCATACATCATTTGCCCCCTATTTTCAGGGGGAAAAAGTGCGTGTTATACGCCGATAAATACGGTAATTAATTTCTATTATTACCAAAGGTCAAAACATACCTAGCCATTACTTTTTTAAAAAAATGAGTTCCTGGGTGTTCTTTTCTGTTTTTCTCACTATGTTGTCTTCAGCTCTATTTCATGCTTTCCTGTCTGCCCTGCCTCCTTCAGCCTTCTCCTCCGTCTGTTTTCTTTTATTATTTTATTAAACATTTATTAATAATAAATGTTTAAGGAAAAATTATATTTTCTAATGATGTAATTTGGACTACTTATCTCAAAGTACACAACACCTTTTCTATTCTATTAATAAATTCAATTCTGTCCCCAAAATCAATGCTAAATTAGAAATAAATTTTACTAAAATTTTCTCCACATGCATCTTTTATCAAACCTTACAGAAGAGAAGACACTACACACATTTGCTCTGGTCAAATAATAATGATCATATAAAACGCTAAAGTCAAATGTCATTTAATCATATGAATGAAGTAACCATGTTAAATAAAGAGGCAAAACAAGTTTTTCACAACATGACATATGATGTCTATATATAGTGAGGGCAGAATAAAAGTACAATGACATCCAAGACCTGAAGATGGAGTTCTTGCATTATGATGGGTAGCACTGTCAGTATTAACATTTAATATGTTTATCCTAAATGATATCTTGTAGTGATTCCTGTTTTCTACTCCATTCTATTTTCTGATTTTGTACAGCTAAATAGTATGAGCAAATCTTGACAGTGCTGATCATCCACTCTGCATACTTTTCTGGATTGGGTCTTATGACTACACATTGTCTAGCATTGTTATTCCCACTAGCAAGGTATAAATATGGGTGAATTCCCCTCCTCCAAATGTATAATTGCTATGAGAGAATACTTACTCTAAAAAACTGGTGATATAATCCCTACTGCAGGTTGACCATGAGAAGGGGTTGGTGTTTGCTGTAATGTGAGCTGCCATAAGTTTTGCTGCTTCATGACCTTTGGTCCCACAAGAATTTCCAATTCCATCATGGTTCATACCAAAACTATCAGAAAGAATAAGGAGGGAAGAGAAACTATATTTTTATATGAAACAGCAAATGTAACAATATAGTATAAAATTTCATATCAACTGAATACTGAAAAATGTTTTGAGAGAACGAGAAGTAAATAAAGGACCATCTATAAATTACATATGAGAATTATTAGCACAAAATTATTAGCATGTCTATACAGTTCATTTCACTGTACAAATTTCACTATATTTACAGCATAATCCTATCTGATTTAGTGCCAATGAAGATTACCATTTTAGAACCTTCACATAAGGGCAAAACAAATCAAGAGATATAAAGTGGTTAAAAGAAGTTTTTTAAAAAAACTAGATATTTCATACTAATTGAAACAATATATATCATCTGAAATTATTCAGAAGTACCTTTCTTTTTTTAAACGTAGAAAAATAGTCTCATCCACTAGAAAAGGTAGCGGGAAAATACTCATCAGTTCTAACAAAAACGTGAGTATGTATTTTTTTACTGCTATTTGCTGAATGAAGGGAAATTTTTCAAGATTGCATTCCCAGACATAACAGTCCCAAATGCATATTGGCTTCCAAAACACTTGACTTTAACTTTTTTAAAAAAATAAAACCTAGCCTGGCAGTATATTGAATGTCATATGTATTATTTGATTTCTTCTTTTGTTTCAGATGCACTGAAGCAAATTGGACTACAGCAATATAAATAACCCAAGAATGTCTTCCTTTAACAATTTGTCATCTTGTTCTAATATTTGAGATACTTTAACACAGTCATTAATCATCAAGTTACAAATATTTCTGCTACAGGTTATTCCACTCTCATAAGTGTTATTCAAAATTGGCTGAATTTAAACTTCATAGAAAACAATGGTTTTGTAATAGAAACCATAGTTAAATCCTTTCCTTCTACTATGTTTTATTGCTGAACATTTGGCTTGAAACACCAGAAAGTAAAATGGGAGTATGACTTTTCTAGTTCTCCTTGTCAGCTTTTACTTCCATTGCCCATAGTCACCTCATGGGCTTTTTGGCAAAACTGTGATTTGAGCTCATCTGGTCTTTGGAACAGATGCCACCAGTATACTGAGGATACCAAATCTAGGGCTCTCTGCCTTCTAATGTCAAGGCAATCAGTACCCTTGAATATCAATAATGGGCTGGATAAAGTATAATGTCAAATTCAATGGTTAAAGTAAAGCTTGATCTGGATAAGTGGTTCTCCCCCAGGAAGATGTTCTTTTGAATTGGAAGAGCACTTTTCCACAAGCTACCATTGGATTTATAGATGGCAGCTCTGGCAAGGAGCATATTTTAACTATTGTGACTAAGATGCTGTGAGCCTTCCTGGTCAGATGTAGTGATAATCACTCATGTCTTGATCACAGTCTTTTCAGCTACCACAATGTGCTTTATGCACCTTTGACAATGTCTACAAATAGTAATTGGTGAAAAATGCAGAAGACTGCTGACTAATGTAAGACAGGAGTTACATTAAAATATCTGCGCTAGCTAGCAATTGCTTAATTGGTTAAAAGGATTGGTGCTAGTCTTATATAGTTAAAAGGATTGGTGCTAGTCTTATGATTCTAAATGACTTAAAGCCTGTGGTACTGCATCTTCATTTATGAAAATGCTCTGGAACTTAGAGCAACAGTCTTGTCCATTCTTTTAGAAGCTTGACCATCATATATATGAGAAAGGGTCTTATTCTTTGGGTCTCTCTAGTAATGAGATATTCTCCCTAAAAGAGTTGTGTTTGGCTCTTAGATAAATAAAACAAAGTATGTCTTTCACCAAGCTTCTAATTGTTGGTTGTTTTAATTTTATTGTATTATTTTGTTATTATTAGAGTCTGTAAGTTATCAAAAATGTTGGAATAACCAGAAATAAGGGACATAAATTCATTAAATAAAGATCCTCCATATATTTAAATAAATACTTTTTCCAGCCATAAAATACATATGTATATATTGGAAAGATTAGGAAGGACAAAAATAGAGACTAAAATGTATCTCTGTGCTAGATGATCTGATTCAAAATAATTCCAAACAATTTATCCTTGTCACACTGCTATAACTCTCATCTTTTCCATTTTCCTTCTCTTGGTTTGTTGTAGTTGCTCCCTTAGAATAGTACATTAATTCCAACCTTCAACATATCTGAAACTGGAACAACTATTCTGTTCCATAATGATGCATGGGAAATGTGCACAATAAAGATTTCCACTTGAAATCCTTCATTCTCACTCTCTCTTCATGGTTCCTTTTCAGCACCAACTTATGTTCCCTTATGTCAGAACTGAAAGGATATAGAATTGGAATTGAACTTTGCTCTCAATACCAGATATCAAAGTCTTGCTTTGCACTTTCTGAGATGAATTATCAGTATAGAGAAAAAACTATTAAAAATACTATTTTTATTCATTATACCTCCTTATTCCAGTCCTGCATATGTTCTTCTGACATTTTAAGAAATCCTTACACTGTATGTCAAATTACTTGTAATAAATAAAGAGCTAAAATAAAATGTATTACAAATTTGAAAGACATCTAGCATATAATTCCCTAAAGCAGTTTGCAACAACTCCTGAAAACTATTTAGTTTCATCATCTAAAAGATAGTAATACCTTTTAGCTTTGTAAAAAGAAGAAAAGAAAGACATGACAAAGATTTATTACTTTTATCAAAATAGTGAGGAAAGAGAAATGGAGATAGAATTCTAATATATATCACAGAAAAAAGAACTGAATACTCTAGATGAGTTTCAATTGTAATTTCTACATGTATAATTAATTCTACTAAATTCAATGACACTTATTCCTCTCTAAATGTGTATTAGATTATAACTGTCATTTTGCCTTTAGTATTAAATGTAACAATAGAATAGTAAGCTACTAGGAATGGCTGTAGTGACTTGTTTCTTTATGCCAAGATGACTTCTAAAGTGTAAAAAAATAATGTCACAAAATTTGGCTTCAGTTGACTTTTCTTCCTAAAACATTAGCTAAAATTAAACTATCATTGCTGATCTAAAAACTGCAAGATTTCTCTTTATTTTATTTTCTGTGTAGTTAGCAAGCTGTATGTTTTATATATGGTAACATACAGATTTCTTAAAAGCCATTGCTTCTTTGTTCCTGAATTTTAGGTATTAGCAAGATGTTGGTATCAAATACTAGCAACAGTAAATCTGGCTGCAATTCCCATTTCTGGACTGATCAAAATGAACCTTGCAACAGAATTCTCAAACTATGGATCATGCCCTCCCAGATTAAGCATCTGGTACAAACCATAATGACAAAGATAATGACAAAATTAACACTTTGCACTTGCATTATTTGCATTGGGTTTCATTTTGGATTAGACTAGTGTATCACATGATTAAGGTCATTCTGTTACAGGACATATTTTGACATCCCCTATCTACACATTACTCATTGGTAATATTGGTAATATGACTATGCTAGCAGGAAGTTTCAAGTGAATTGAAACATCTAATCAGGTTTGTGCAGATCAAGGGTGAGTACTATCAAAACTTCATCTAAGCTCTGTTCATTTTGACTGCACATGTCTACAATAAATAGAGAGTATCAACATTCAAAAAGTCCAATGATATTTATTAAATTTTACTATAAGTGGTCTATTTATTTGTAAACTTTAGTTTCATTCATTTTTAGGAGATCCTGGTATTGCAACAGTGAGGACCAACAGTGAAAATGATCAGTTAAAAATAATGTGATTAAATCATGTAAATTAAACATGGTTAAAGCAGTTTTCAATGTGTTTCCAATTAAAACTCTGTGTTATAAGCTATATACTTATAATCTCATTCTGAAATGAAAAAGTAAGCAACAATTTTTGAGTTCAGTCTCAAAACATATATCCTGAACTCTACTGTTTTTACAGCATAGTTGTACATGTATTTTACAGCATAGTTGCATAGTATTACTCCATGCTTATATGATTTACTTTGTGCTATTATACTGTAACAGTGATTTTATGCTAAACTGACACAACTAGAAGCAATTTCACATCAATGATATATGTGTGCTGCAGTAATAACTCTTTCAAGATCAAATGGCTGATGAAATCAAACAACAAAAATAATCAGGAAACAGAAAAGGCAGCCAAGATAAGAGTGCAAATTAAGATAATTAAACTAAATGTATTGAAAGTTTAAAAATATACGCACTTGTGACCAATTTCATGGGCTATGGTAAAAGCAGAGCCAAGGCCAATGTCTTCATTAATACTACAGCTCCTTTCAGGCTCACACATTCCAGCAACAGAGGCCAAGCCTGAACAAACAAAAGGAGACACAAAAGGTCATGCCAACGTGTTTCAGTCTTTAAAAGCCTTAGTTATAAATGCCTCGATTCTTTTTAATAACCTCCATGCCTAAAAGCAGCAGTTGGCAAAAGGTTAACTTTTTAGTCCTTACAAAATCACTGGGGGGAACTTCACTTTGCCAGCTAGACATTAATATTTTTTGAACTGCAGTCATTGCTGGAAAATGTCTAGACTAGGGGTTAGATTTATAAATTTTACTTCTGGTAACTTGGGACCACCTAGTAACTTGAGCCAAGAGTGGGAATTCAAGCAAGCATTTCTATTTTAACATTTTTGAGGTTGCAGAAAGCAAAATGTGTCCATGTTACTTTTCCAAAAAGAATGGTTTTAAGTTTAGTGGGTCCATAAAACATACAAGTAACATTTTAGCTACCCCAAAATCCCCAAGAGGTATATTCTAGAGAAATTTTATGAGAGAAAAATAACCCTCAGTACATCAATTGAAGAGAAAGAAACATTAATTTGTATTCACTATCATGTTTTTCTTTTATTACAGCATGAAACACGTGCCTTTAAAAATGTAAAATGAATGAAAAGCTTCAGATATTTACATATGGAGTACTGTACATGATATACTTTAATGCAGGACTAATCAATTATCACTACTGATAATGGATCTTTTGCAGCCTTAGTGATACATTTCTCAGAATACTGCATGCTTATCTGGAAAAAACATTAACGTACATCCCTAAGGATATATATGCTGAAAAAATATTGTTACAGAAAAGTATAAAAAGAATACTTTTAGAACTCAATTGTGTTTGAAAAGGAAAAAAAGAAAAATAATTTTGGACTCCTCTTTTCTATAAGAATAAATTGCAAGTATTTCATGGCTTCACTTTAGCTTTATATCTTTTCTGCCCTCAAGGCAGATTATTATAATTCAGGATTCCAACTGATCTCCCCAGATGTTCTGCACTCTGTCTCCTATCTGCTTCAACTAGCATGCTCAGTTATAGAAGCTATGGTATATAAAATACCAAGAAATACCTAGTCTGAGAATAACTGGTATAAAACAAGTTAGAAAATATTTTTACTTCAACCATACATATATCCTCTCTGCTAGCCATTTCTAACCCCTTAGTTATCTTGATTATAATTACAGTATGCAAAAAGCTGTTAACTGGATACATGTATGGCATTATTATCTATAGCTGACCTAATTTTGTGTGTTTTTAAGAATTTTATATGTATAGATAATTTCTATTAGCTTCCAGGCAATTAGGTATGGATAAGAAATGATGGTAGTCTGATGTTTTATCCTCAAGTATATGTTTAGTTTACATAACAGTTACTGGCTCCTGAGTAGAGCAAAATAAAAGTAATCAAAACAAGCTTTGCTAAAATAGATGGAAATTATTTTCAACCAACTGTAATTTCTGATAGAAAAAGGGTACAATCATGTTTTCCTTCCAGTAATTTTAAAGATAACAACATGATAGCATTCCATTTTCTAAATTCTACCCGTTGTGACAAAAGTATGTATTGATGCCTTTTGCTTCTACAGAGCAAATAATATTGTTAACACTTTTAGAATATAATGAACACAATTCACATTTATAGCTGAGGACTAGAATAATTCCTATAATCATGCTTAAAACAACCCCAACAAACCCAACAAATGATCAGTTTTAAACCACTTTATTCAGACTATTGTTTTATCTTTCCTTTTAGGTCTATTTTTTTCTCTGTTTGGGCTGCGCTGCAAAGTTCTGAACTTTGCCACTGTAACTGTTATTCTATTTCTTCCCTCTTTTTGCTTTATGTACTTTTTTCCTTGGGACTGTGATTTTTTTTCTTAGAATATGTAATTTTTCTTTCACAGAGGGACATCTTTGGCAATTAGGAGTCTGTAATTCCTGTTCAATGCCATGGAAAAGCTTCCAACTCTAGGTGGTGATCCTGTCTAATTCCCAGGCCATCATTTATGCAGTCTTATCCCGCTGTTTTTCATAGTACAAAAATTCCAGAAACCATAAAATACATGGAATAAGTTTTTAAAAACCCCATGATGTACTTTTTAAAAACTACACTAACGGTTGGGTTCTACTAAAGACTGCTGTAGTATGGAGGGAGACTGCTGCAGTATGCTGTAAGTCTCCTGATTTCACTTGTTGCTATAATGTGGGAGATGTCATCAGAGCTGGTAGATATAGCTAGACTAGAAAGGCTGTGTGAAAAGTTACTTGATTCTTGGTTTGAGCAATTATATATAGAAATTAGGCAGGGAAGATGAAGAATTCAATGCATCAAGATTCAATATCATCTAAAGTCAATCAGTCCTATGCTGCATCAACAGGGAGACAGTATCAAGATCAAGGGGACTGATAGCACCACTCTGTACTGCACTATTATAGCTGCATTTGGAATACTGAATCCAGTTCTGGTCATACAAATACCAAAAGGGCCTCAGAAAGAGTGTAGAGAAGTGTCAGGCAAACTGTCAGGCAAAAGCAAACAAACCCACTCATGAAGAGTCTCAACAGTAGCTTATTGCTAGTCAACTAGGTTACAAAAATATCGCCAGAGTGGTTGCATTTCCTTAGGAACAGCAAGTTAAGGTTTCAAGGATTCTAATTCTTACTACTTAGTGCAGTACAATGACTCTAAACTTAGCTCCCTCTTGATCCCTCCTCCCAGCCTAGTTGGAGATTTCACCAGAGCAACAATGGTAAGAGGTCTGGAAGCTAAATTTTATGAAGAACAGTTAAATAAACTAAAGACTGAGGGAGACATTATAGCAATTATCTACTACTTGAAGGGCCGCATGCAGGAGGATATTGTTTCATTCTTCATAGCACCTGAATATAAGACAAGAAGCAATGTGTTGGAGGGTGCTCCAACTTGGAAATAAGGAGGAATTTCCTGATAGTGAAAACTATGGAGCAGTGGAAGAGCTTGTATTCTGAAGCTTTGGATGCTCGATTGGAGGAGATTTTCAAAAAGATTGGACAACCATTTGTCCAAGATTGCATGATGATTCCTGCTTTGGGCAGAGAGTTGGATTAGAAGACCATCAAACACTTTTCCAGTCCTATAATTCTAACACATACACTGAGGAAGTGGACCGACTGATCTGTAAAACAGATATCTTGTACGTCTTCTGGCTACAAAACAAAGGGTTTGAGATACATTTTTGAACTTTTATATTATCAGGAAGAAGGGATATATCATTTTTAGATGAGAGCCAGTAAACCCCAGTAGTTTGCAAGAAAGAGGAATAAAACAAAGAAGAATGAAGTAGAAATATTTCACACACAAACAAGAGGAGACATTTGTGTGCCTGAAATTAAAGAACAAACATAAATCTTCTTTTCAGGGGAGAAACAGGACAGGAAGATTCTTAGACTCAAATGAATAGGAAGGAATGATTTAGCAGCAACTCAAGAGGAAGGCATATGCTTGTACAAAACAAAAAAATATTTAGACTACCTATTTCATTTCAAGAGCTGTTGGAATTCCATAAGCATATATTCATGATGAGACAAAATACTGAGACTCATCAACTTAGTTACAACCTCAACTGCTTAGAAATTATGTCTAATAAAAAAAGCATTGGATAAATTTAGGACTGAAAACCAGATGTTATTGTTGTAGTAAACTAAAGGCTATCCAGCAAAAGTTAAATAATACAGACTTTCTCTTAATTGAACTTTCTCTGCTATTGAATGGAAAACAAACTCTGCTGATAAAGGAATAACTAATTAATTCTTGCCTTGCTTGTATTGTATTATCCAAGTTGAGATTTTATTAGTGACCTAGATAAAATAATAGACAGATTGTTCATCAAAACCAGATAACATGGTCAATAGCATAGAAGGAATCAAAATTCAGTTAACTATTTTGGATCAAGACAATAGCATGAAATACAATAGCATGAGAAAATGTGACCCTTATATAAAAATATTGGATGCAAATATAAAATGAGGCAACTTGGCTAGACAGCAGTATTATGTAACATATTCAATGTCTTAATGGATTGCAAGGAATTATAAGAAGCCCTTAAAATTTATTTATTTATTTATTTATTGAATTTATATTGACGCCTATTCGCCCATGGCAACTCAAGGTGGCTTACAGAATGTAAAACCATATTTAAAACAAAAAACAATTAAAACAACAAAAAGAATCAAATAAATTAATAAAGTACAATAGAACAAAATTTTGGGGAAAAATAAATACAAAATCACACCCCAACTCCCACCACCCCCCACCCCAGCAACAGCAGTTCATCCGAGCCATTTGATGGACTCCATCAAAAATAACTAAAGAAATCTGCATTAGCAGATAATGTGGAACTATGAAATGTAAAGCAAATATAATACAAAACAAGTGAAATGTGCACTGAGAACTGAAATATTCACACATATTTTGTTAAGTAGTACATTTTAGTCAGTAATAACCTGTATTTAGTCAGTGACCTGTATTATACACTTAGCTAAATCCTATTAAATTCAATAGGATTTCAGTAGGATTTCTCTATAGATTTGTGTAATATTTCTGCTGGCAAACAAAGTAATAAACATATCTATTTATCTGTATTAGTTTATGCTGCACAATATTTTACAAGAAAATGCTATAATATAATTCTAAATGTGTGCATAAACAGTCACTACTTGTGATAATGAAATAGAACATTAAATGAACAAAAGCTGATATAGTAAATGCTACTGCCAAAAATACATACATGCATGGTTCTTGAAATCCAATTCTTGAAATATCCAGTTAGTTAATATTACTACCAGGAACTGGTAGAAGATCTACTCTCATCTTTCATATACCAAACTACCTCATATTAGCTAGCATTTAACAATATATGCATATATAAAGCTCTGCCCTCTCTCTTACCAGTGCAAAGAAACAAAATAGTAAAGGTGTGATGCTAAGCAGTTTATTTAATGTTGCATATACTTTTTATAGTTATCCTTTAAGTCTGTTAATATATGGTTTAAACACTGGTAAATGATGAAGTAAATGAAAAATTAATCCTGGCTGCTGGGAATGAAGTATAGTTTAATTTATCCCTAGGTTCATTACAGTGGGATTTAATATAGAATTCTTACGTCAAGATGAAATAGGAAGACAGGTGTCTCTGGAACAAAGCATGAAGTCATCAACAAAATAATATTCCAGTGCCAAACTTGAGAGTTAATCAAAGGAACATGCATGTTTTTATGTATCTGGCAGAATATTACCTTCTTTCTGCTGACTTTGGACAATTGCTGCTACTGCTGACCCACTGTTTTTATTGAAGCCTGCAGACTCCTCTTCCCTTTTCTACCCAGTTTCAATATGGGAATTCCTGCCACTTGCAAACTAGTTGCCACATGCTCCAAATGACAAGGAGAAGGGATAACAATTTTGTGAAGGTGGAGGACTCATGTCCTAATCATCAACTGAGAAAGAATGTAACTCCTGCACTCAGATGATAGTAATAATGCAGCTCTCTGAACATAGTGGAATCATGCAGAGATTGAATTTGTGAACTCCTTTCCATATACCAGAAGGAGTTGGTTTTTCATATGTATTTAAGTGACTCTTAGAAAATTCTGGACAAAGATTTTAGGTTTGAATGCAGAGTTCAAATTCAGGTCACACCACCTGGCCCAGGTATTTTGCCAGGCATGGCTTCCCAAGTAAGGAATTGGGGAGAGACAGAGACAAAAATCTGTCCAGGAACAGATTATTTTATCTTGCCCACGTATACTTAAGCTCACTTAACAGTGAAACAAGAATATAAACATTAGTGAAATTTCAGCATCATTCAGTCATTAGGGGTGGCAAATTATAATTTAAAAGCAGAGCAAAGTGACTTAAATGTACAATGCATACAAGTTTTCTGAATACTTTATGAATGCTAGCAGGTTAGCGAAAGTTTGACACCACAGCAATCATCAGCTGTTCATATGTTCTAAAACAACAATTTTACAATGTACATTTTGATTTCTCACTGTCTTTCCTAAGGGTTCATTTTCTATTATGTGGAATATATCAGATAATCTTCATGATGAAGAAAGCAGTATAAGTTTCCTTTTCCCCTTAATGTTGCTTTGATTACTTCTAAACCAGTGTTTCTCAACCATTGCAGGCTGGGGAATTTTGAAAGCATTAGTCATCTTAAAGTTGCTGAGGTTGAGAGATACTGTTCTAGACTAAAGTAATCCAGCTATTGAAAATAACAAATAATAAAATTTAAAAATTCCCTTTTGAAAGTAAAATATATTTTGAAATCTATCCTTATATAAACAGATAAATATAGGGACACCATCTTATCTATAGAAACATTTAAAGAATAATACTCATTTAGCTTACACTATGAACCTTACCCAGAGTTCCACAAGGCTTGTTTTTATATGTGCAGATGTCATATCTGTAAAGAATAAAAATAGATATATTTATAAGAGATTCCTCTTAGCAGTGCTGTTTTTAATATTGATCACATTACCATAGTGAAATTCCGATTGCCAGACTACAATCACTATAATTATATGCAGCCAGCTGGAGTGTCAGCCCTACAATCTTGTATAAACTACAAGCTGCAGTATGGTCATAGCCTCTGGTCTCAAGCCATAGAGAGACCTTCCAGGAAGAAAAAGAGGTTAAAATGGACATTTCTCATTTCTGGCCTTAAAAAACAACTTATCATTTTGTTAGGAAGTTATAGCCATATATCTGCAAAATATTAGTATTTCAACAAGAAAAACAATCATTATTCTAAATCTATTACACTTGTTCTTTCCTAAATATTTTAGAATACTGAGTGGTAATGTTTTATCTTACTATTTCACATTTTGCTTACTTTTTAATGTATGTATTATCTAAAGCAGCACCTTATTAAATAATACCTTAAAGAGATAATGACTGGCTCCTGATTAGTATGATTCATGGGTAACAGAATATCGGTGAACCCCCTATAGTACCAGCTCATCTCCCCCTTCCTTTTATTTTAAAATATATCATATACATATAATATGGAGATTAAATATTTTAACACAAAATCATTTTTAATTTTAATAAATAACATATAGAACAAATACTATAAACATTAACTATGTATTTAATATATATGTTAAATATATTAACTATGTATTTAATATATGTATTAATATATTAATATATCAAACTATATTCAATTAATGTAGTTCAAATGTTAATATGGGTTAACATTAATAGTACAATAATACTACATTGATTAATGTAGTTGAAATGTTAGTAAGGGTTTACAAATGCAGAAATGCTTGATATAGTATTTAGTGAAAGAGATAATGAACTCAAGTAAATATGACAGAGGACTGTTGAATTTGCATGGAAATGATAGGAGAAATTTAAAAAATTATGATTGGGAAACAGGTATTCCATCTCAGAAATAAAAGAAAGTTTTTTACTGGTTTTTTTTTCAGATTCACCCTTTACTGTTATAAAAATCAATAGAAATTATATGAAACTGATGAAGAACAACACATTAAATAAAATAACAAATTGAGCAATATTTTACAGCTGAGGTTTTTATATGGGAGTTGAGAATCCAATCCAACTTCAGCTCATTCTGACCTGTTACATTCAGGCTGTTTGTTACGTGTTTGTGAATTGGTCCTACTACCTACCAAATCATAGTTAACAGGGGTGAACAAAACACCCCCAGTTTGAAAGATTCTGACCTTAATTTCATTATTATCAGTATTTCCAGCTTGAAGACAGATGAAGGTATTTTATTTTACACTTTTAGAGCAATGTTGCACAATATCAGCAACTTTAATGTGTGGACTTCAATTCTCAGAATTCCCCAGCCAACATGCTGGCCGGGGAATTCTGATAGTTGAAGTTCAAATATCTTAAAGTTGCTGAGGTTAAGAAACACTAATTTAAAGTATTGCACCATCCTCTTTCCTGGTTTTAATTTTAATTTAAAAAATAAATGAAACTTTTAGCCCTAAGTTTTCCCAATTTAAGCCAGGATGCTCTAAAACAGATTACAATTCTAAACAAACTGAACATTCAGTAATTAAAATGCATAATACTAAAATCAGAAAACAGTAGCATACCTCATATAATCAAACTATTTATAACAATAGATATATTTTAAATCAATATATTAAACAATTATTAAAAGCATTATTACATAAAAAGATTATTAAATAAAAACATGTTTACCTAGTATCAAAAACAAAAAAAAACCAACATAATTGGTATCAGGCTTTTCCCTGCCTGGAAGGGCATTGCCCCCCCACCCTCAAAAAAAACTTCCCACTGATACCTCTTCCAGTTTGGGTTTCTTCAGCGACAGACCGAAATCCGTAATCGTGCGCGGTTTTGATCTGTGCTCGCCGCTGGAGCGCCCTGATCCTTTGGATTTGGGGCTGAAGCCACCCCGTAGAGGTGGTGAAGAGGGGAGAGATTGCTAGCCAAGTGGAGCCGCATCTCTCCTCCTTGGCTGGTCTAAACTCCCCTTCCCGAAGGAGGTTGCAGCAGTGATCAGAAATGGCCATCTCAAAGAAGAACCCGACTGGATAAGATTATGCAGGAGGAAGACAAAGAGGAAAGCAGGACAGACCGGGCTAAACAACAGAGAACATCTAAGCAAGGTACCCTGAATCTAAAAGTGCACTAATTGGAGTGTGACGCCTTTAACTCTTTCCCCTAAATTTATAACAGTTAGCATATTACATAACTTCCATTGGGATTCTGTTTGGTACATTCTAAAGTTACACATTATTTTTTTTAAAAAGAAAAATTTATAAGTATGTAATATAATTAAAACAATCCATGTCAATTCGAATCTAATCATTAATATTAATATTCATTTAAATCTTAAACATTTTACACATTATTTTTCAATTGAATATCATACTTTTATGGGAACACTTGTACTTTCCATAGTTATTTCCCCCTCCCCACACTTCACATCACTTATATTTTAAATCATTGTATCATTAAAATGCTCCCATTTCCTCCTACTTCAATTTCTCTCATTTATTTCATTGCCTTCCTTTTATTCACAAAAATATCACTAAGTTACACTAAATATTTTATCCCATTTTTTAATCACATGTTGTTTCCAATTTTCTAACATTATTTCTAAGTACAATATAACAATACACTTTTATGTACCTGCAGAATCCCTTTTTCAATTAAATTTTACCCATTATCTCTAAATGAATCTTGTTTCTTTACATCTTGCTCCCCACCATTGAGTCTTCTCATCCCTTCCTTCCTCCCTTGCTTCTTCTTCTCCCTGCCCTTTTTACCCCTTTGTCTCTCCACCTCCCTTTTCTTCTTCTGCATTCCCCCTTTCTGTTGTTTTCTCACATTATATCCACTTTTCACCTTATTTTTCTCTTTTTTGGTTGTTTCTTTAAATCTTAAAGTCCCCTTTTTCTTTTCCTCCTTCTCCCTTTCTTCCCCAAATAAAGTTACTTGTTCATCAAAGATGGCTTCTTCTTTATGCCAATCATCTTGTTGCGCAGTCAGTTTCTCATAGGTGCAAATTGCCATTTCTAAGAATTGAAAAAGAGTGCCAAGAGAGCCTTTCCCTTCTTGTTCTTCTTCATTGTATTTTTTGTATTCAATTTTCAATTCATCCACAAGTGATGCCATTGTAGAAAGGAAATTTTTTTCCAAAACAACCACCCAAGTGTTTTTAGTCCTTCAGAAATAATTTCCAAAAGTCCCAAAGTCACCAAACAGTCCAAATAAGCTGTTTCTTTTAGCTGTTTCTTCTTTCTTCACTTTCTCTTTCTGGGGTTACTGTTTAGTTGCAAAGTCCAGTTAAAATGTATCTTTTAGAAGTTTTGTAGTATTTAATGATTCTTTAAAATTCTAGGCAATCTCCTCCTTACTTCCAAATCCTGCTCCAATTCTTTTCCTTTCCCTTCCCACTTACAGCAAAAAAAAAATTTTTTTTTAATGTTCAGAAATTCTTATTATCCTTTAGCATTTAATTATCCAGTTTACCTGTTAATGCCAAAGCGGGTTTTTCCGATTTCTCATGCATTTCTGTTCGCTGTCAACGTTAGGAAGGAGAGTGGAAAAAAAAAAAGAACTTTCCCTTTTAACTTCCATTCGCTGCTTGTAAATCAATGTGAACAATGTATTTTTTGCAGATTTCAGGTTCCAGGATATCTTCGCTGTTACTTTGTCCCAGTCAGCAAAAGAACTTTCACTTCTTCTTGTTTCCCCCTGCACTTTCTTTTCCGGCTGAGCGCTTCTATGTGGCAGCCATTTCTGACCGCCACTCAGCTGCCTTCGGAAAAGGGGGTTTAGCCAGCTAGGGAAGAGAGGTGCGATTTCTCTCAACCCTGTCAGATCCCCCCTATCTTCACCACCTTCTACGGAGGTGGCTAGCCCTGAAGCCAGGTGGCTCAGAGCACTCCAGCAGCTAGTACAGGCAGAAACCGTGCAGGATCACGGATTCCTGCCTGCCCTGAAGCGCTGCAGACCGGAACTCCTGTAATTGTTTCTAAAGATTGATAAAATATTGAAAAGAAATGTGAAAGATTTATAAGGAAATTTAAACCAGTTACTAGAATAAATTTGAATAATTATTTTGCTTATTAATAGTAAATAACGTAAATAAGTATATAAGTAATAACTTAAATAAGATAAAACTGTATGATTATCCAATGGTATGCTTATTAACAGTTAAGTAATAATGAAGAAGGGAGGGAAATATTTCAACTGTTCTCAAAGATTGATAAATATTGAAAAGAACCGTGAAAGATTTACAAGGCTTATACCAGTACTAGAATGAGTTTGAATAACTATTTTGCTCACTAATGTTTATATATATATATTGTTTTTGCTATGTTTTTAGTTCTTAATTTATTTTTTTTACATTTTTAGGGGAAGTACCAAGCAGAGTCTGAATGATGAGATTTACATTATATAAAATAGATATTAGAAATTTTAATGTTATAATTTTAGAATGCATAAATTTAATGTTTAATGAAATTTTATATGATAATAACAATAAGACTTAAAGGTATTGCACTCTGACTGGCAATCATAGAGGGAATTTTGCTTTTTAAGAATGTTGGAAGAGAGCATAATGAAATTATAAACAAGACAGACGAAAGTATAAGTATAATAAATAAAAAGATATAGAAATTTAGGTAAAAGAAATACAATTAAATAAGAAGAAAATGAGATAATCATAAAAGAAAATTAAGAGAAGTAAAGGGAGAAATAGTGAGAAGTTGGAAAAAGAGTAATAAGATATGAATACATAAGATGAATATGTATATGAAATTGTGTCTGTATGGAAATGTGATAACCCGGAACCATGCTGTACTCAAATAAGATGTTTTATTTGTTTTGTTAAAACTCAATAAAACTTTATTTAAAAAAAAAACTTCTCACTGAAAAGACGCAAGT